CCTCAAACACAATTTTATAAATATTTTTTCAAAAAATATCTTTAAAAAAAAAAACAGTGGAAAAATGGTCTTTCAAACACATTATTTTTTAACTAATTGCTTTTCCAACCACGAAAGCAGCTTAAAAGTTGTTCCAAATAGAACCTTATTTTTTTAAATCACAAAATTTTTTAAATAACCAAAATATATTAAACCAATAAAACAAAGTACAAGATGCAAAGAGCATAAAGCCAAAAAGCAAAAGAAAATACATTGAGAAAATATAAAGGAGAAGAAATCTCCAAGGCTCAGTAATTGTCCGAGGCTTCCAGCTTCCCCAACGCCAAACTCAGACCATCCAATTTGGTGAATGAGAACACGAAGCAGCCAACCCGACCTAGCAAGAGACACCACCAAAGGTTGCCAGGAGCCAAGCCACCAAGGAAACGACCCCAACCACATCATTGCCCATTGTTCCAAATAGAACCTAAATGTTATAATTAAATCACTTTTTTATTTTAAATTGTGATAAAATTATACATTTAGTCATTATTTGAAAAAGAAATTATTTCACGGTGTTAACTAACAATCCTAATTATATATTTTGTGACATTTTTTTGCCAAATAAAATTTTTTACTCATGTATAATTTTAATCATAGTATTTTTAACCATATTAAAGTTTGCTCATTTTTTTAATTTTTTTTCTTTTAATTTGTAAATGGCTAATAACAACAAGAAAAAAAAAACTTTCAAAAACGCGATTGTTCTTCCCAAACAGTCATGTTTTAGTAGTTTATAATCTTATTCCCGTTTTATTTGGGATTGCTTTAAATCATTATTTTTTCTTTGCTTTTAAGAAGTTTTTATACTGAAAAATAGCTTTGAAAAGCAGTAAAAAAATTATCCTAAACAAAACCTTAGAAAACATTATCATATGCTTCAAGTGGGAGGTTTAATGTAGCCATATTTTTCATTTTTTCTTTTTTTTTTATAATTAGCTTTGAAATAAGGTTGTTTTGACTTTTTGAGTTTTCTCCTTTTGTTTCAGTCTCTTGATCTTTTTCATAATTTGTGTTCTCTTTAACTATATCTATATACAATATTCTATAAAAATAGTTATTAGCAGAGGTTTAAACCGGTGCAAAAACAATCGGTTTTAGTCGCTGCTATACCCAAACCTTACTTATGCTGGTTGGACTCTCGCGAGCCACGACATCACCTTTCTCCTTCTCTTTCGATACCGGCCCCTTCTCCATCGCACAACGATCTCGCTCTTTCATTTCTTCCGTGCATCCATGGCCTTCGATCAGAGAGAGAGTCATCCGCGTCAAAGACTGAAGTTGGAACATTCGCTCGTGTCCAGCTCTTCCGGATCTCTCTGCCTTGTTTGTCCCCTAACCTAGGGTGCTTTTTTTTTTTCTGAATGCTTGCACATTAGCTTGAAGAAAATGACAATAACTTGAATGATTATCCTTAAAGCTGGACGAGGATCTACTTTGGTTGGTGTATTAGGATCATTACAGTTGGATTAAGATCTATCATAATACATAGAAAAAAATATTGCATTTCTTGTTTTGAGTGGAAGTGTAAGATGATTCTTTACATCATAAAGGAGAGGTGATTCTTCGCCTTGCATTTGTTAAAGAAGGGTTTGTGAAAATTTTGAGAGGACTAAAAAAAATATATAGGCATGCTAAACACAATAGATGAGTTTTCCTACTTTTCATTCTCCACTATTTATAGTTCATAGTTTTACTATTTCTTATAATATATTATTATTGATTTTGTTTCGCTATACCCTGAAATAGTCACGTTTAGAGTCATACGTGCCTAAAGTGCTGGCAGATTGTATACGTGCGTAGAGCGGTCCAATTGAGATTACCTAAGGCTTCGTTTGGAACAACTTTCTTACTTCCTCTTAAAGCAACTTTCTAGTTTAAGTATTAAAATTTATGTACTAGAAAGCTGCTTTAAGAAACAGTAAGAAAGCCGTCCCAAACGAAGCCTAAGTGTTTTTATAATCATATAAGGCTATAATGTAAAATTATCTCTATAGCCATAAAGTTTTCAGCACAAAAATTTTTAATTTTTTTTTATTTACTATTTGTGTTTTTTTTTTTTTTTTTCAAACTTATGTGTGTTTTTTTTTTTCAAACTATAAAATTTTCAACATAAAAACTTTTAAAGCACCTGGAAAATCATTTTGTAAATTGTTAGATGACAATATAAAAAAATTATTATCATCATTAGTAAATAAATCATAAGGTATATAATTAATGCTAATGATAAGGTTTTTAAGTCATATGGCTACCTACTTCCTGCCATCATTGCATCAATGCTTCTTGCAACATGTCCAAAAGTTTTCCTGATGCCCTTAGCACTGCCTTTGGGACAATCAGAAATATCCCTTGGTGACTAAACCGACGCCTAGGGGATATACATATAGTAATAAAAATGGTTTTTTTTTTTTTTTTAATTCTGTACAATTGTGACAGTTTTAACTGCCACAAACACCCAAAATTGTGGCGATTAAAACCGCCAGAATTGTAGCGGTGAAAACCGCTACCATCCTGAAAATCAGTTTAGGTTTTGAATTTGATGGAGGTTATAACTATTGCTAAAACTAGCATATCCTTAAATCTACCCCAACGATTCGAAAACCACTACGAAATGTCGTCGCTGCGCATTGCAATTATAGCGCGGGTGCAATGGTTTTAGAACTGCTGCAAAGTAAAATATGGCAGTTATAACTGCCGGGACAAGTCAAAAATTGTGTTGCGATAATCCTATTTTTCTGATAGTGCACCCAAAATACTTCATGATTCCACTCCCATTTAGCTCTCTAAGTTTTATAAATAAAGAGTGAAAAAAAAACTTTTTTTTTTTGTATTTAAGCCCTCTTACTATTTGTTGGGGGACAAATATAGATGATTCCAGAGTTTTTTGTTTTTTTGTTTTTGTTTTTTCTTACTATTCATAATCACTCAAACCTAATCTAATTTGCTGGCTTTCACTCACATATATTCTACCATTAAATTTAGGTGTCATTCATGGGGCAAATTAATACGTCCGGTGTCCGGATTCGTCCGGAAACCTATCAAGACGCGCCACATCATCAAAATACACCGGGACCCAGTGTATTCGGGTGACGTGGCGCGTCTGGACGTCCGGTGACCGGACGTAATAATTCGCCCATTCATGGACCAATTTGAATCCATCAACTCCCTAAACGTTCTCTAACTTGGTTAAAGGCTAAAATTAATTAATGCTGCCATTAAAAAAACCTCTTGTGCTTAGAAAACGTTGTGCAGCGTTAAAATAAAGTCTAAAGCAAGCCATGCTCCTCTTACTCAACTGTAAATCTAAAATAAAGTTGGTAGCAGAGAAATTCATATAGTTCTTTGCTTTATAAACATAAGTTGATATGAAAATATAAAGAAATTTATCTGTTGATCAACGAGATTTCAGAAAAATACGCAGTGAACCGAATGTCATTCGTCTATCGCCTGTTTACAGTTGCTATTAGTCTCCACCCGAATCCAAACAAAAACTCATTTTGTGTTTTCTCTTCATTGTAGTGCGACTTCAATATTGACGTCACACTCTTCAAAACTCGAAAATAAAATTTGATTTGCAGTTCGGTTGGACAGTCGCCGCTACTGTAAACCAAAGAATGTCAAACCTTAAGCACAAGAGGTATAAGGTATAATTAGGAAGATTATTATTTTATAATAAAAATCCACAGCCTTTCTTTTAATATACTTTATTTGATCTCTTCCATTAAAAACCCTAATAGCAACAATTAAGGGTGAAATCCCCTAATCCTAAGCCTTTAAAGTATTTATAAGACACTCAAGAGAAATTATTCCGTGTGGGGTGTGGGACGTAGAACGTTGTCCAGAGATCAACAAGAATGTGTCACGTCAGCAAAATATCGAGCCGCGGTACCAAACAAGAGGTGACGTGACACATTCTGATTGATCTCGTGTGTTCGCATCCCCATATAATAATTAATCCTCAATCAGGTCTTCAATTAAACAACGCTAACTAAATAAAAGATCACCTAACTCAAGAAAATAGCAAAAGAGAAGAAACAGAAGAGAACTTTTTTATTGCTTTCTAAAACGGAGTTTTAGTACAAAAATAAAAAAATTTATACTAAAACTCCGTTTTAGAAAGCAATAAAAAAGCCGTCCCAAACGAACCCTAAGTCTAAAATAAAGTTTGTAGCAGAGTAAATCATATAGTTCTTTGCTTTATAAACATAAGTTGATATGAAAATATACAGAAACTTATATGTTGATCAACGAGATTTCAGATAAATACACAGTGAACAGAATGTCATTCGCCTATCGCCTGTTTACAGTTGCTGTTCGTCTGGCCACCCGAACCCAAACAAAAACTCATTTTGTGTTTTCTCTCCATTGTATTGCGACTTCAATATTGACGTCACACTGTTCAAAACTCGAAAATAAAATTTGATTTGCAGTTCGGTTGGATAGTCGCCGCTACTGTAAACCGAAGAATGTCAAACCTTAAGCACAAGAGGTATAATTAGGAAGATTATTATTTTATAAGAGAAATCAACAACCTTTCTTTTAATATACTTTATTTGATCTCTCTTCCATTAAAAACCCTAATAGCAACAATTAAGGCGTGAAATCCCCTAATCCTAAGCCTTTAAAGTATTTATAAGACACTAAAGAGAAATTATTTCATGCGGGAAGCAGAACGTTGTCGGGAGACCAACAAGAATGTGCCACGTCAGCAAAATATCAAGCTGCGGCTCCAAACAAGAAGTAACGTGACATATTCTGACTGATCTCCAACGTTCTGCATCCACATAAAATAATTAATCCTCAATTAGGTCTTCAATTAAACAACGTTAACTAAATAAAAGATCACCTAACTCAAGAAAATAGCAAAAGAGAAGAGAGAAGAGAGAGAGAGAGAGAGAGAGAGAGAGAGAGAGAGAGAGAGAGAGTTAATACAAGGATCAATGAGCTTAATGGGACAGATCTATGCTCTGTAAGAAATTCCTTATAGAATCTTATTTATATAGGAGGAAAAATTCCGTTCCATTAAATTTGCAATGAGATCTGTTTGACTAACAAAATTGCAAATATAATATTGATCTCAATACAAAATTAAAAGATTGGTTTATTCCTAAAGTAGGATTCTATGAGGAAAGAGTTCCTTCCAGCTGCCTATTGGATGTAAGACAGGCCAGTGATGTCGAGATCACGATCGCCGGTGGAAGGAGGAGGCTTGTGCTTCGGTTCCGTCGACGGCTCCGAAATCCCATCGGCACTCTGCGTCTCGCTCGCCGGCGGCTTCCTCCTCTGCTCCAGCTCGCCACCACTGCCGTCTTTGACGTCGTCCTTGCCGTACATCCCGCCGCCGTAGGCCTCGTGTGTTAGGGGCTTCAGATCAGAGATTTTAGAAGGGTGAATTGATTCTCCGCGCCTCTGTTCTTCCATTTTTTTCTCTCTTTGAACTCGAATTGCTCGTCGGAGAAGATGATTGACATAGGGAAGTGATTTGGGATTATATGATCCACGCTTAAGCCTGTGAGGCTTCCAACACTGACACGTGTTTTTGGTGAGCCACGTGGAGCGACAGGCGACAGCCGCGTTCAGTTATAGAAATTCACGATAGGACAGCAAGGCCCCACCAAAGCTGAACGGGCAATAACAGGCCTGAGTGTTTAGTTTTACGGAGGAGCATGCTAATAATAATAATTAACAAAAAGAGAAGATTTAGTTAATAATTTAAAAAGAAGTAAATTCGCTAACATAATTAGCGCATTCAAAATACGTCATAGTTTTGCGTGTATTCTAAATACGCCATTTTGTTTGGCGTGTTTGTGGGTCTCCGAAAGGATTCCGCTCGTGTGGTTCGAATGCGAAGGGTACGATCACACTATCCCATAGGACAAAAAGGTCGTAGGCCTTTACACTCGACACAAGCAGGCCGATGGAAGAGCAGATGGAGTTATAGATATGATTAGCCATGGAGGATAGCGGCTTTCCCCTACCAACCTCGATGGATAATAATATATGAACTATAGTGGCATGTATGTAATATTAAAGTTTTAGATATTAAATATATAAATATAGTATTATAAGATGATATGTACATAAATCTCACTTTATTTTTTTACTGTTTCTATTAGCGCTTCATGTATGGCTTAAGTCAAAAAGCTTATTTGGGGGGAAATTATTCTCCGTGGAATGGGAAGTACCACTTAGATATGTGATTGTAAAATTTATTTATAACATGTATCAACTTTTTGCACATACTGTATGGACCGTTCTTCATGTTCGTACTTCATTCAGAATAATTTCTCTTATTTTGGACAGTTCTTAAACACCTTCTCAATACAAGTTTTTTAATTAAAAAAAAAATCACTAAAATTTTAATTTAAAAAGTATTAAAAAAGGCATCCCAAATAAAATATAAGTCCAATTATATTATCAAAAATCAAATTTCCTAAGCTAATTTATTTTTTAAAGTTTTTTTTTTCGTATTGAAAAAGGCACCCTAAATAAAATATAATTCCAATTATATTATCAAAAATCAAATTTCCCAAGCTAATTTATTTTTTAAAGTTTTTTTTTCCTTCTTAATATATGTTTGGGATAGCTGAGGCACATACATATAACTATAAAATTCTTATTGTAAAAAAAAAATAAAAATTATTATTGGTATTATACATCTACATAAAATATAAGTTCATGAAAATATTTTAAAGTCAAAGGTGAATGCCCTATCCAACATTAGGGCCTTTGCCTCCATTGGCTTGAGTTTGCACTGCTGTGTTATTTTATGTGTACATATTCATCTAATTGATGAAACTATGTATAAAGAGTGAAAATAAAGAGCACAGAAAATATGATCAATAGACAAAAACTTACAATTTTATACATATTGATCTAATGGATGGCTATATCACATAAAACGTCAGCCTTCAGATGACACAGTTAGGAGAATGGATGCATTAGATCTAGCTTATGTTAAGAAAGATGGAAGTAGACTCAAAAAGACTTAGTTAGAAAGCATTATTAAATGTTTTTTTTATTATATTTAAAAGAGAATCTGATTTTTGATAGACATATTAGAGAAATTTTTTTTATATAGTTGATCCCACGTAGTGTAATAAAGGTTAGATGTTGTTGGCTATATCTTACTCATATTTAATTATGATTAATTATTGATATTTAAATTTCTATTCTCTCTCTCTCTCTCTCTCTCTCTCTCTCTCTATATATATATATATATATA